GATTACATTTTACAGCAGCCTGAGCATCATTTAAATACGTAAACCATCACCTGTCTTCTAGTCCACGCTATCAGCATTATTTTAATTGGTGTGTGTGTGTGTGTGTTTTCCACTTCAAACACTGGTCTAACCAACCAGACCAGCGTGTCCAGTAACACATTAATGTTACAATTAAACTTGATTAACCCCAGAGCCACGCGCACTGCGCTGTACTGACTGTAAATGAGGGGGAAACGATTTAATCGGATCCTTTTCTTTTCAACATGGTTTCATGTAAAATTTCATTCAGTGCAAACTTTAGTTACACCAATCTAACGAGACAGAGCCTGGATTTGTATTCTGAACAGTTTAAACATGTTTAAAACGGAGACATGCGTGACGCGTCTAATTTGCACCTGCTCTGCTATTATGGAAATTAAACTAACAAGATGAATAACATGAACTTATTTTAGGCACAGACAACATCCCCCACACTTTTGAAAAGCTTGCAACGCGCCTGATCGCTCGTGTACGTCTTAATTATCTTTCATTAGACGATAATCAATAAAATGATTTATATAAAGTGGATCCAGAAGTTGTAGCCCGTCTCTGCCTACAATTTTTGGTATTTTTCACCCTGTTAGTGGTTTTACTGAGCAGGTGCCACTTTTGTCCTATGTTTCTTTTAAAAACATGTTTAGACTGTTCAGAATACAAATCCAGGCTCTGTCACGTTTGATTGTTGTAATTAAACTTTGTAGGTGGGGGAGGTCAGAAAGCAGCTCAGAAGCGCCGATATGATTACGCACAAGCGAGAGGCGTCAACCCGGTCTCACAGTAAGACCGGGTTGGAACTGTTCAGGTTTACGCAGACAATCTTTACATTTAGAATTGGCTTACAGATGTAAAATTAATGCAGTAAAATATAAAGCATTTTATTTAAATATCCATTCATTATTTTACAAGCAAGAGCCGCATGCGGCTCCAGAGCCGCAGATTGCCGACCCCTGTGCTAGCCTACTTTATTGTCCCCAGCAATTTTTAAACACCACTCAAGTGTATGGTTATTGTCCCCAGCAATTCTGAAAACAAACTGACGCCCTTGGTGGTGCACATTTTACGCATTTGGAGAGGTGGGCTGGAAGCTTTGCTTTTACTGGAAGATGGTCCACTTAACGCACGGGTGTAGACTACATATTAATGACAAATGAATGAAAATTAAATTGGGAGTTTTTACTTCATATTTTAGAAATAAAAATGACGGGGGAACACATTCATGACGTACAGGTGCTGGCCAGTAAATTAGAATATCATCAAAAGGTTGAAAATATTTCAGTAATTCCATTCAAAACGTGAAACTTGTACATTATAGTCATGCAATGCACACAGACCAATGTATTTCCGATGTTTATTACGTTTAATTTTGATATTTATAGGTGACAACCAATGAAAACATCAAATCTGGTATCTCAGAAAATTAGAATATTCTAAAGGCCAATGAAAAAATGTTTGTTTCTCTAATGTTGGCCAACTGAAAAGAATGAACATGAAAAGAATGTGCATGTATAGCACTCAATACTTAGTCGGGGCTCCTTTTGCCTCAATAACTGCAGTAATGCGGCGTGGCATGGACTCGATCAGTCTGTGGCACTGCTCAGGTGTTATGAGAGCCCAGGTTGCTCTGATAGTCGTCTTCAGCTCCTCTGCATTGTTGGGTCTAGCGTATTGCATCCTCCGCTTCACAATACCCCATAGATTTTCTATGGGGTTAAGGTCAGGCGAGTTTGCTGGCCAATCAAGGACAGGGATACCATGGTCCTTGAACCAGGTGCTGGTGGTTTTGGCACTGTGTGCAGGTGCCAAGTCCTGTTGAAAGGTGAAGTCTGCATCCCCATAAAGTTGGTCAGCAGCAGGAAGCATGAAGTGCTCTAAAACTTCCTGGTAGACGGCTGCATTGACCCTGGACCTCAGGAAACAGAGTGGGCCAACACCGGCAGATGACATGGCACCCCACACCATCACTGATGGTGGAAACTTTACACTGGACCTCATGCAACGTGGATTCTGTGCTTCTCCGCTCTTCCTCCAGACTCTGGGTCCTTGATTTCCAAAGGAAATGCAGAACTTGCTTTCATCAGAAAACATAACTTTGGACCACTCAGCATCAGTCCAGTCCTTTTTGTCCTTGGCCCAGGCGAGACGCTTCTTGCGCTGTTTCTTGTTCAAGAGTGGCTTGACACACGGAATGCGACACCTGAATCCCATGTCTTTCATGAGTCTCCTCGTGGTGGTTCTTGAAGCGCTGACTCCAGCTGCAGTCAACTCTTTGTGGATCTCCCCCACATTTTTGAATGGGTTTGTCGTCACAATTCTCTGCAGGGTGCGGTTATCCCTAGAGCTTGTACACTTTTTTCTACCACATTTTTTCCGTCCCTTCGCCTGTCTGTTAATGTGCTTGGACACAGAGCTCTGCGAACAGCCAGCTTCTTTAGCAATCACCTTTTGTGTCTTGCCCTCCTTGTGCAAGGTGTCAATGATTGTCTTTTGGACAGCTGTTAAGTCAGATGTCTTCCCCATGATTGTGGTGCCTTCAAAACAAGACTGAGGGACCTTTTAAAGGCCTTTGCAGGTGTTTTGAGTAAATCAGCTGATTATAGTGGCAGCAGGTGTCTTCTATATTCAGCCTTTTCAGAATATTCTAATTTTTTGAGATACCAAATTTGGAGTTTTCATTAGTTATCACTTATGAATATCAAATTTAAATGTAATGAACATTGGAAATACATTGGTCTGTGTGCATTGCATGAATATAATGTACAAGTTTCACGTTTTGAATGGAATTACTGAAATATTTTCAACCTTTTGATGATATTCTAATTTACTGGCCAGCACCTGTATTTTTAAACTAAATTTTCTAGCGCGACCTGCCTGCTTCACTTAAGTCACTGCTTATTAAGGTCTGTCCAAAATTACCGTGGCCCACCCAAAAATGAAAACCTGGCGCCGTGCCTGTTATAAACCTCTGCAAATTGTTGTTCTTCACGTTATCAAACTCAGACTTTGTACAGCTAATGTCAAGATGTAAAAAGATTAATTCAGTCGAGCTCTTCCGTCCCTCCTTCTCCTGCTCTCCTGGAAACCCGAGATGAGGCAAACAGAGTGAGTGCGACATAAAGAAACCAGACTGGTGTGGAGGTGAGCAAAACAGCTGGAAAAGTGTGGGTGTTGAATCCCCCACGGGTGCGATGTCCATGCGAGCGAACGGTACCTGCTGCTGTCACCTGGTTGTGAGCAGCTCTCTGCTGTCTGAGGGTAGGCCCCGCCCACAACGCCGCGGCTGCTGCGGTGTTTTCTTTACTGTGGGAAACGGGTAATAATGGCTCTTTGATGGGAACAGGTTGCCGACCCCGGTATAAGATCTGAGCTGGTAAAACAAAAATCCTCATCAGCAGGCTTTTTTGAAAGTGGGGGGGACACAGCTGCCAATCACAAATTTTGCCGGGGACATGTCCCCGGCGTCCCCGGTTAAAATGACGCCTATGGGGGGCGGGCGCACTATCATTTCACTTTCACACACACGAATGAGGGTGATTTATAGCTCGGTCACTTCCTTGTTACCTACAAGGAAAACCAGCATGATAACTATATACGGTTTGAGAGAGGATCTGAGAGGGGTGGCAACATTTCCAGCAACACTGAAAACCCTCTCGGATGGTGCGTTCGTTGCACTAACGCACATGTACTTGCGTGCGACTCTGGCGAGCAAAGGGAATCTCTCCTGGTTGTTGCTCCACCATGTCAGGGGGGTTTCTTTAGGGTGGATGCATTCCTCCTGCAGGTAGCGAGTGAGCTCCAGCTCGGCTCAAACTCTCTTCGGGACGGTTGCAGAAGCAGTGCTTGTCCGGGACTTCAGCAGGTCTCCGAGCGTTTATTTATTTTTTTTTTTGCCGCTGGTGGCAGCTCCGTCTCGGCCAAGGACTCTGGCTGCGCAGCAGCTGACGTACTGAAAACCAAAGTGCTCCCAAAGGAGCGAAGTAACGTTTCGTTTTGATACCAGTGCAGCCATCCTTCTCAACATGCATCATTGAGTTGAACCAAGTTCAGTAATCGCGTTGGCCCATGATGCAGCGCGGTGGGTTTCTTCATATTGCGATATTTCATTTTTGCGGTTACCGCGACAGCCCTAGTATACACAATAGACCTTGTTTGCTCTTTAACTTCCCCCTTGTAAAATTTTTATTTATATACACATATAATTTATTTTTTCATGCTGTCTTACTTGTATCCTTTCATTTTCTATTTTTGTTTTTTATTTTATTTATTTTTTTGTTTATTGTCTTCTTACTATACCAAGTTGAATTGTATCAACAAAATGCAAGTTGACATGAACACGGACTTCGGAGCTGCTCTGTAATGCCATTCTGCTAACGAATTTTGAAATGTAGTTGCTTTTGTTCATTTTTCAAATGTTCAATAAAAGTTCATAAAAAACTATTTCTGGTATCTCACCGTCTCTCCATAAGCCAACCAAAAATAAGGTGGATAGACTATAATGAATTCTATTTGAAGCAGTGCCTTTCTGCTGCCATTCATGCCTCCAGTGTGGATTTTGGGTGAACCTGAGTTTTATTTATTTATTTTTAATTCAGGTAGTATAGGTAGCCAGGCAGTTATTCTGTACATTACCTCATCAACTCAGTTCTGCCGAAGCTTCTCCAGCTTTTTCCTGTAAATGTCTTGTCTCTGCTCCTCTTTGTCATGTCACCAGAGGTGACTGGTTGCTACTAATGTTCTGTAAGAGGATTTGCAAACATAATTTCAGTCCTCTTTGGGACCATAATAAATAAATAAATAAATAAATAAATAAATAAATTTTTATCCAAATTACTGTGTGGATGTGCGCGCGCGCGTTTTGTTGTGTGTGTGAGAGAGAGTAAAATGAACACATTTGTTTGTTTTTATTAAAATGTAAATGCACTGGCCGCACAGGGGGCAAAGACATGAAAACGATGGTGGGGACCCATCCAAGAGGGCGGCCGCGTTGATACGTCAGCGAGCGAAGACGCTGGGAGGGACCGTCTGTGTGTCACATGATAGAAGAGCGTTTCGAGCTGATTGTGTTCCAGTCCCGTAACAATGGTAAGTTGCTTTCCAACAGGAACAAAATCTGCACATCTGGCCCTTTTCGTTCCCTCGGTACTTGATTCACCTCCGGACCGGTTGGGCTACAGGTGTTCAGTGTGACTCGAGCTCATCTGAATGTGTAGTTGTTCTTGTGGTGCTGTGGCCTAGCGTTAAGACTCAACCTGTGACCGGATGTTGTTAGCTTAACCAGCAGCTGGTGTTAATTTAGACATTTATACGTCAGTGCACTTCTGGTGTGAGTTTACTTAGACCACTGGGTTAGTTTAACCAGTAATGAGTTCAAATATCAAATGCTCAGGACTAGCTGTAGCATGTTAGCTAGTCTGCTAGTAAAAGTCGTCCCAGTAAGGGTATGGTGCGCGTGCGTGTGCTTTGACGTTTTATAAAGCGCTACTAGGTCATCTCCCACATGTACTGGTTGCCTGTTCTCGTTATATTCAGTGCTTTGTTTTCTACCTACACGAACCAGGCGGACCCTCTCCACCAGCAACCCGGAAGCAAACAGACCACGTGATCTCTGCGCTTCCTTAGAGAGAACTGCATTTGCTCCATTCTTCGTCCTGGTTTTGTGAACAGCTATTGTAATGTGTACAGTCTTTATATGAAGCAGGGTTTAGGTCCTCCTCACTAGAGGCTGGAACGAGTTGTTTTTATGTAAAATGTTTGGAGATTTTCACAGTTCTTAAATGGATTTGAGCTGTAACTTTAAATTACAACCACTGTAAAGGTTGGGTTTACTACAACTCTCTTGTAATAACTGCTCTGACAGGACTATAGCAATGTGAACGCTGCTTCTCATTCTCCACCTGCCATTTAGATGAGAGTGAAAGGAGGTGGGTGTTTTACAGATGGCTGAATTCCAATGCTGTACTTAAAACATCTCCAGAACTTGTTACCATGGTAATATAGCTCTGCTCAATGTCTTGTGATGCTGAAAACCGATTCCAGCTGAACACAGTCAGCTAAGCCCCCAACAGCACTGTTCAGCGTGATTCAGACTGGTCTGACTCTGGTTGGGTCTCTTGTTATTTGTGGAGATAAAACATCAACGTTGCAGAGTCAGTGGTAGAGTCTTGTTGCTGTTAGCCAATCAGAGGAGAGATGTCTGAATATCAGGAGTCCAAATCCTGCTGTCTGAAGCTCAACTTGGATCTGGCAATCTTCCAGATCATGAGAGGTGTGATCTCTCACTTTATTTCTCATCAGAACTCCAGCATTTTGGACGACCTGGAGACTACATTCTGTGGACTTCCTGGATAATTATCAATCTTAAGATAGTAACTCCTTCACTGGCAGCCCTTTGCTGATTGCTAAAGGCCTTCACTGCCAACGTTTTTCAGCATTTTCACAGTTTTTTTAAGAGTCACTGAACGTTGCGCTCTATGATGATGTCAACACCAAAAACAAAGAGGAGACTCACCTCTTAAGAATCCGCACGTTTCGAGTGTTATCCTTTGATTCGTAATCCGTTGTCAAACTGTGATCGGCAGAAACTTTTCCGGTTCGCGCCAAATTTTTTTTACAGCAGCGGCTCAAAACGATCTAACACATGGATTTTCTGCTTCCTGGTCACATGACGTGTGACGTACGTGGATGAAGATCGGCTTTAGAGCTGGGATGTTTGTTCTCACGGTGCGGGGGCTCGTTCTGTGAAACGGTTGGATTTAAAATGACGACTTCTGTCGTCAGTGGCAGTGAACAGGTTAAATGCATGAACTAGAGTTTCAGCATCACTCCTTGACAGGATGCTTTGAATCTGAGCAACATTCTCATAAGACCTGTATTTGTGTTTTGTTACAGCCAACCACACAGCAGTCTCCTCAGGATGAGCAAGAGAAGCTTCTAGATGAAGCTGTTCAAGCTGTGAAGGTCCAGTCCTTCCAAATGAAGCGATGCCTGGTAGGCGCTTGTTCTCTGCTTTAAAGGCTCATTCCTGCATAGCACTGGTACACAATTTGTAGAAACTTTGTTTGGTTGAACACATTTACCCCCCACAGACTTTGCCTTTTTTGACGGATGGATCAAAAGTTCGTGAACTTCATCTTTTGTCCCAGAGGTGACAGAAATTCTGCTCTGACTGGGCTCAAACATCTAATGTAGAAAAAACACGATAAACAAAGTACAGGTGCTGGTCATAACATTAGATTACCATGTAAAGTTGATTTATTTCAGTAATTCCATTCAAAAAGTCAAACATGTATGTTAGATTCATTCATTACACACAGACTTGGGTTGGGCGTCGTTTGAATTGGAACAATTCCAATTCCTCATTTCGATTCCAGTTCCCATCCATTCCCGATTCCGATTCTTTCAAGTGGCAGGATCCAGCTAACCACATGTCTTACTCGATTAAATAATCTGAACTTCAACATGAATTTTATTCTATGAACATCTAACATTATCAGCAGTAGAATAGACTGCTTTCTGGTCTTCCCAAAAAGAGCATCTCAGGTTTACAACCTCTACAAAATTCGGCAGCACGTGTCCTGATGAAGACCAGGATGCGGGAGCACATTACACCGGTTTTAGAATCATTGCATTGGCTCCTTGTGTGTTTCAGGATCAATTTTAAGACTCTTTTAATGGTTTTTAAGTGTCTTAATGGTCTGGGGCCTTCTTATCTCTCAGAACTGCATTTACCATTGCAGCTTCGCACTTTATAGCGTAACAACTGCATATTTAATTATGACCAATGAGATGTGATGATTCCATATAAATATGAAATCTCAACCTGATTGATCTTTGAATGTTTAACCAGAAGAGTTGACTTGAGGATTCTTTGCTTGTTCAGGGACCATAAACACACTTCGTATTAATTCAGGCAGAGTCAAGTATACAGTTAAAAATAAATTTTATTTTTCTAAACTAATTATAATACATGACAATACATGTGCCCCAGGGTTCAATTTTAGGCCCAGTGCTTTTTAATCTTTATATGCTCCCTCTTGGCGGAGTCATCAGGAGACACGGGGTTAACTTTCACAGTTATGCTGATGATACACAGTTGTACATCTCCGTGTCTCCGCATGACTCTCGGTCAATGGATGCACTTTTTAACTGTATTTTAGACATCGAATCCTGGATGGCAGAGAACTTTCTCCAGCTCAACCAGGACAAAACTGAAGTTTTAGTCATCGGTCCTGAGGCCCAGAGAGAGAAGCTTTTACCGAAATTACAATCTCTGTCTTTTAATCCATCTGAACAAGTGAAGAACCTGGGTGTGATTTTTGACTCTGAGCTGATTTGAATCCCACACATTAAAAATATCACAAAAATTGGTTTTTATCATCTAAAGAACATCGCCAGAGTCCGCCCCATTCTCTCTCGGGCCAATACAGAGACGTTGATGCATGCTTTTATCACCAGTAGGATAGACTACTGCAATGCCCTGCTTTCTGGTCTTCCCAAAAAGAGCATCTCAGGTTTACAACTTCTACAAAACTCAGCAGCACGTGTCCTGATGAAGACCAGGAGGCGGGAGCACATGACACCAGTTTTAGAATCATTGCATTGGCTCCCCGTATGTGTCAGGATCAATTTTAAGGTTCTTCTAATGGTTTTTAAGTGTCTTAACGGTCTTGGGCCTTCTTATCTATCAGAACTGCTTTTACAATATGAACCCTTGCGGTCTCTGCACTCCTCTGGCAGGCGTCTCCTGGTCATCCCTAAAGTCAGGACACACACTCACGGCGAGGCGTCCTTCCAGTGTTATGGCCCTCGCCTCTGGAACGAGCTGCCAGAGGACCTCAGGGCCGCAGAGAACGTTCATGTTTTTAAGTCAAGACTCAAGACCCATCTTTTTAGGTTAGCTTTTATCTAAATATTTACTACAGTTTTAATTCTCGTTTTACATGATTATATTTTATTACTTGCTTTGCATGTTGTATATGATTATATTTTAGCACAGTTTTATTATTTAATTTATTATTTTACTGTTTATATCATTTTATTTATTACTTATTTTCTAATTTTTGTCATTTATATTAGCTCTTTTATTACATTTTTACTCATTTTAATCCAGTGTTTCCTCTGTGGGGGCCCTCTGCCCCGGGAGCGGTGGTCGACTGTAGCTTCCTGGGCGCTCTATAGGTGGGGGTCTATGCTCCCCCTCCACTGAGCGCCCTGACTTAGTGTGGAAGACCTGATGCTGCCGGGACAGACGGCTCCTCTGATGGCGTTTCCTTGCGTTACCATACTTGGCTCATCTGAACTCAGCCTAATATAATTTTTACTTGTGTGTGTGTGTGTGAGTCTGTGTGTGTGTGTGTGTCTGCGTGTGCTTGCATATGTTTGTTAATGTTTTTAACCTGTTATGGGAATCTGGGGTCATTTTGTAAAGCACTTTGAATCACACTTTGTTTGAAAAGCGCTTTAGAAATAAAATTTGATTGATTGATTGACAAGCTATGAATAATGATATGTGATGGAGTGTAGATACGGTGATGTAATGTGTGTTGTAGGTGGTGTAAAGTAGATGTGTATCGGAACCTTTGTATCTGAAAGAGATTGTGAATTCTGGGTGTAAAAGAATTTGTTGTCTGCTATAAACTAGAGAGTTGATTATTAATAAAACAACATATCCGCAGTACGACCAACCTGGTCTTGAGTTGTCTCCAGGTCACAAAAGGCAGGAAGGTTTGTTGCGTCTAAGACGAATGTTCTCTTAAGGAGCCGTGTGGATGTGTCAACTGGCAGTGTGCCAACAGGTTTGACTGTATGTCAGAGAGAGAGGTGTCTCAAGGAGGCTGATTCCGAATTGGCCACTTCGGAGTTCCACTCGAAACAGAATAACTCGGGAAGTCACTCTAATTTTAATAATCTAGAGTTTATGATTACTGCGAATCAGAATTTGACATGTTTGTAAGCTTTACCAAGCATCCCTCAGAAACCACACCTTCCAGATACAAGCTGTTCTAATTCTGTGGATAAAGAATCTTTACACATCATGTGCGATGACCTTAACCTGAATTTGCATCTATTGAACTTTGTGTATGAGTGTAGATAATGATTAACTTGTTAAATCAAACAGTACTGATCATAAGATTTAAATGGATCATTGTAAGAACAATATTCATTTCAACTTCACTGAATTAGGCACAAACTATTCAAACATTTCATATAACATCTGGTTCATTCACCCATATGATTATTTATGATTATTTAACTTATGATAGGGCTGCACGATATTAGGAAAACCTGCGATATTCGATAACAGTGCTTAATAATGCGATATCGATATTACTCACGATAAATGAACAAATACTAAAGTATGCAGTGTTGTTGTCGTCTGGCGTGTGACGTCTGCTCTGGGTTCAAAGCAAACAAAAACTAATGCATGAATTCCATTACAACATAACATTTTTATTGCAAAAATATGCAGCTGCACCTACTACTGTATTAGCAGCAAAACGACAAACTGCATGCATGCAGTTTATCAGTGACTTTAAAACATCACCTCCACCATAAAACTTTTTCTGATGCTCCAAATACAGAAAAACATCCCTTACCACACATATGTCAGAGTCAAGGCCCGCGGGCCAGATGCGGCCCGCGGAGCATTTTTATGTGGCCCGCGAGATAAATATCAAAAATATATTAAAACTGGCCCGCTGGCCGATTTTACTGCAAAGACTACAACTCCCATGATGCTTTGCGGAGCAGACGCGCCCCCTCCTTTGTGTTTTTTCAGCGCCGAGGCAGTCAGAGCTAGTTGGGTGTCTGCAGCTCCGCTGTCTCGGACAAACTACACTCCTCTCACTCAGCGCCGAGTTCACTCAGCTGTTTTCTGACGTTGAAGCCCAGAAACGGAGATTCTAGCCGCTCACTAATGTGTTCACGACTGAAAGAGAAAGTTTTCAAACTAACTTCCATACAGAGCTGATATTACTCCAGCGAGCAGCGACACGCTCAAACCAGCACGGCTCTGTGGCTGCTGTCGTGTTTCCCCCCCGACACACAACAACGTGGTCAAGCTGCTCAGACATGTTCATCAGCACAAACCTATGTGAGCACCTGTTGTCATCTAATGTTGTCATTATTATGATGAAGATGAACAAAACAACAGGAGTCTCCTCCTCAGCTCAGATCAACCCCATGATGCAGGTATCTGGCTGGAACAGGTGAGCATCACAGTAAACCAGTGGAGCAAACTGAGCTTTAAATATGTTGGTTTTATGCTCTTTTTCTGCTCCAAAACAAGAAAGTTAACAGGTGAGATGTTGCATTTTCATTTAAGATAAAATGATATTTTTATTTTGTTGTTGGCCCGTGAGAAAATATTTAACCTGCAGTAAACAGGAAGTGGAAAGGCTGCAGATAGATGAATAGAAAATCCCTTTATTGTTCCTCAGTGGGGAAAGCTAGACGTCACAGCAGCGATGACACTTATTACAGGAGAAAAAAAGGAGAATAAAAATAAGAAAAATGAAGAAACAAGAAAACATAAATCCTGAATAGATTTTAAAAATGCTGATTATACCACAAGTAATGAATACCACTGATGTGTTTTATTTGTAACTGACTTGCTCGTGTGTAATTTGGTTATTCCACATTCAGTGTTAATGCAGAAATAAGTTTGTTTCCAAATTTAAAGGTTCCAAATTGCATACATGTTGATAAAGAAAACGTGCAAATTTGCCGTCACTTTTTCAAAAAATATTAAGTTTGGCCCTCGACTCCGTCCCAGAGTTTCATTTCGGCCCCTTGTGAGTTTGAGTTTGACACCCCTGCCTTACCAGGGTTTTTGGAATAAATAAAAATATCTGAAAATAAGTTTAAATGTTAAATAATTAGGGCTGCACAATATATCGAAAACTTATCGTCCTCGCGATAACAGGACGTGCGATAGGCCCATCGCAAAGCACGGCAGAAACGTCGATAAATGTTTGAACCAAACATTTCCATCCGTGTCGTACATCAACTTTTTGTAAACCAGCTCTGTTTTTTACGCGAAAGTATTATTTGACCAATCAAATGTAGCCCTTCTGATATGCGGCCAATCAGATGGTTCCGTTCACATAATACGCCCGCCCCCTACATAGACCCTTTTGGAAAGCTACACCGAAACTGAGTTAGCGGCGCCGTTCCCTTGTTCGTCATGCTGGCTCAGAGCAACGAATGCACTTTGTGCTGATATTTCTGGATTCAGCGCTGCTTTCAAATGTGAACGTGAGTCCGCTCGGTGTCGTTAATCATTTTTACCGGGCTGACTCCGACATGTGCCGGTGAACCAACCCACCTTCATGTCGCTAGTGTTAGCCCCAGGCTCCGGTTAGCTTCCAGCTAAAAGGCTACAGCACTCTCCTCCCAGTCCCACCCTGCTAAAGAGGGCCTGGAAAAGTTCCCCCACACATCAAAGTTATTTTTCCTTTATGAGCTTTTATAACCTTGTTAATCAGGATAGTTGATTTGCTGCTGCACATAAACTGTCAGTCAGAAGCTCTGCTAGCCGGTTATCTTAAGAGGAGCTAGTTCAATTAGTTAGCTTGTTATCAGAATCATAGTTGCAGTTTCATCATCTGAGCTGCTTTTTAAGATCTAGGTTAACTTGTTCAATTTGGGGTTAAAAACAAACGTTTCCACATATTTTCCATGTAGTTTTTTTGCCAGTTCCTCTTCTGAAAGGTAGACAATTGTTTTTCTCTTTCCCTCAGAAAATCTTAATATTCTCCTAGTTTGACTCAGCACAGTTCACTTCCCAATAGCAGCAACAGCCGTATATCATAACCAGGGTCCGAAATTAAATTTTTTACTCACCGGCCAAGTTGGCCGGTAGATGATGAAGATCTACCGGCCAAGCATATTTTTTACCAGCCAAAATTCTAAATGATTTAGATCTACCTAAAGCATGTTATTCTATATTATGTTGATTCCAAACAGAGTGACAAAATAATTAAAACATCAGTTAATAAGGAAAACAACTCTTTTGTCATTTTTACTATTTATTTATTTTTAGAGATGTTTTTATGAACTCTTTCATTGAAATCTAGTCAGACTCCTTGTTTTCTCTGTCCATGAAGTCTGGCCTCCTGCTTCTGACACCGTCTTTGTGCCAAAGCATTACAGCCTCATTTGGGTCATAGTCCTTGATCTCTGGAGAACACAGCTGCACCATGAGAATATCTGAAAGTGTGTCAGGGCTAGGGTTGTCACGGTAACCGGTGTAGCAGTAAACCCCGGTAAAAAAGTAGACAATAATAATAACCGTCTTGTTTTTAAAAAATATAAATTATCTCGGTGGATTACCGTGGCTGTGGTGTAGGCGCGGTGACCCTTACCAGCCACCGTATCATCTGCTGGAAGTTGCCAGCGGCACATGCGCACTTTGTTGTTTACGACCAAAACTTTCTTTAAGCTAAAGCTGAAATAATGGCCAGAGGAGACGGCAGCACTCGGGACATTTATTATCCCTCAAAGAAGACAAAGTTGGAAGTACGGGCATTATTTGGATATTTGAAGAATGCCGAGGGACAGTTGTCTGTGAAAGGCAGCAACGCTACGTGGCCATCATAATTGTCTCACGACTCCGCCACCTCCAGTTCGCCACTTTTCACAAAATCTTCTGGTTGCCACTGGTCCTGGTGGTTTTTCTTCCAGTTCGACAAGTTTTCTTTTGGAAGGCTGGCTGACTCCAGTTAAAAACCGCCACATTTCACCGCTAGTTTTAACACGAAGCTAACTTCTAACTTGATAAATTGATTGAATGGGATAGGTGGAAATGACGTTGGATGCGGCGCTCACGTTTCGCGTACGTTTGTGTACGTTGCGTGCAGGCGGGAGGAGTATCAGAAATCCATGGAAGATGACTGATAAACATAACTAATTTGGTGCAAACATTTACTCGCCATGTGGCAGGTAGAGCTCAAAAATTTATTCGCCAAATGGAGCAATTTACTTGCATTTGGCGAGTGTGAATTTCGGACCCTGATCATAACCACATAAGTGGAGATAATGTTCAGTAGCATGTTCAGTGCGGAGTGTTCCCTAAGGTTTTTAAAGGTGCGGTTGTTCAGCCGATATTGAATAAACCTGGTTTCGATTTCTCCTCTTATGAGAACTTCCGCCCTATATCGAAAGTCCCGTTTCTCTCGAAGGTCCTTGAGAAAATTGTGCATGGTCAGATCTCTGCCCATATGAACAACAACTCGTTGTTGGATGTATTTAAGTCAGCCTTTAGACCACACCACAGCACTGAGTCTGCTTTGATTAGGGTGCTAAATGACATTCTGGTGGCATCTGACTCTAGGTCTAGGGTACTGCTGCTCCAGCTAGACCTTTCAGCGGCTTTTGATACGGTCGATCACCATATTTTACTGGATCGGCTTGGGTCTTGGGTTGGGGTGACGGGGGTGGCGCATAAATGGTTGCTCCTACCTATCAAACCGTTCCATTGGTGACTGTGCAACCTCCTGTCTTCCACTGCCTTGGGGGGTGCCACAAGGTTCTGTTCTTGGGCCATTGCTGCTTTCTATCTACCTTCTGCCTCTGGGCAATATACTGAATTAGCATGGCCTGAGCTATCACATTTACGCTGATGACTGTCAACTATACGTAGAAATGGATGAGAAGAATGCGGGCTCGAAATTGGCTGCATCTTTAGATGACGTGAAGGGCTGGCTGGCATCCAACTTCTTAAAGTTAAACGAAAAGAAGTCTGAGTTTATTGTTCTTGACCCCCGCAACCACCATGGCTCTCACCCTGTTTGTGACCTTTTAACCCTCAACCCCAAACAGTTTGTGACAAATCTCGGGGTCAAGCTGGATGCTGGACTCACAATGGCCCCACAGATGAACTCCGTAGTGAGGTCTTGCTTTTATCAGCTTCGCCGCCTTATTCGCCTCAGACGAATCCTGAAACGGAGGCATTTGGAGTCGGTCATCCATGCCTTCATTACCTCTCGCTTGGACTACATAAACGCCCTCTTCGTTGGTGTTCCGGTATTTGCCCTGAATCAACTGCAGGTCGTCCAGAACGCTGCTGCCAGGTTCTTGACGAATACACACAGACGTAGCCATATTACCCCTGTCCTGATACATCTTCACTGGCTCCCTGTCATTTTCAGAGTGCAGTTTAAGTTACTGACCTTTGTATTTAAAGCTCTCAATGACCTGGCACCTCCCTATCTCTCTGACCTGCTCACTCCATATGTGCCCACGCGCACGTTGAGGTCGGCTGACCTTTTGCTGCTGTGCACGCCGCGGATGCGTTACAAATCCCGGGGTGAACGAGCATTTGTCCATGCTGCCCCAAAGCTATGGAACTCATTGCCCATTGGAGTTCGGCAGGCTCCATCTCTGGCGGTTTTTAAATCTCGTTTAAAGACCCACTTTTACGCTTTGGCTTTTAGACAGTGACTCGTTTTAGTGTTTTATTGTATCATTGTTTTAATGTGTTCTTAGTATTCATCATGTTTTATCTGCTTTTGATTGGGATTTTTATCCCCTGTTTTAGTTCTTTTGAATAGTTGTGTTTTGTTTTAGCCTGTGCAGCACTTTGGGCAGCTCCCATGCTGCGTTTGAAACGTGCAATATAAATAAACTATGCTATGCTATCTTTTCTATTGCGCCTCTCAGGATTAAGTCATGAGGCGCTTCACAAAAACAAAAAATTTACATACAAAAACATGTCCAACAATGATTAAACGTGTTTAAAATGAGAAAAAAATAAAAATTGTAATTAAAAATGTAAGGAAAGACAGAGAAAATAAATAGGAGAGAGGGAAATCAGTGGATCCCGAGGAAGGTGGAATAAGAGCAGAATAAGGAGAGGGTGGTGATGAAGGTCACACCAAAACCTGAACAGGTGAGTTTAAAGGAGAGACCACCGAGTCCACTGATCTCAGGCACAGGGGGAGAGAGGTCCAGAGTCTGGGAGCCATGTCTGCTGACATAGACATAGGCAAAGGAAGGAGGTAATCCACCTCTAAGCATGCTTTCATCTCTGTAAACACTAGCTGACCAAAACTGATAAGTTAACAACTGACCTGTTCTGCTGCTGCTTTTAGCATTTTATCTCAGTTCTGATGCAAAGTTTAAAAAAAAAAAAAGCTTTTTATTTATATAACTGGAGTTAATTGTTTCATTTCATAACTGTGCTTTTCTTTGGTCTGCAGGACAAAAACAAGCTGATGGATGCTTTGAAGCATGCTTCCAATATGCTTGGAGAGCTGAGGACTTCTATGCTTTCTCCAAAAAGTTACTATGAGCTCTGTATCCTTCATATTTGGTGTTTTAATTCATTCCATGTGAAAAAGAATCTGCTACTTGTCTTTTTCCTGAATAAAATGGGACATAATATGTCCTCTTTGAGGCCTACTGGATCACCACAGCAACAGATTAGCTTAAACCATCTGTAACACAGACATATAAGTAGAAGCACCATGGATTGCCTATTGGAGCTTGGAGCCCCCTATTCAGCTCTGAAAAGCATTGATCACAGTTTTCAGATCACGTTTATTTTTCACGGAGATCGGCCGCAGATTCCTCTTCCGGTCGGCATTCTAGGAATCGAAACTAGGAATCAAAATAAAAAACTTTGAACGATTCAGGGAAAAACTAACAGTTGGAACCGGTTCCAATCAATGCTCGTTGCCCAACCCTAAGGAGAGTTAGAAAATGTTGTTTCCAGCCCTGTTGACTTGCATTAATTGTTTCGTTCTTCCGGGGACCCGTGGTCCTGAAGTAGATGGCCGTGACTAGGACTCCCTGTTCATGGTTAGGATCTGTAATGAGCATAGCTGTCAATCACATAATTTCTTTCCCGTTTTGGTGATGCAACATGGCCGAACGCGTTCTGTTAGCCAATCAGAAGCGAGGTGTGTCTTCGTCTTCGTCTTCCTCCGCTTATCCGGGTCCGGGTCGCGGGGGCAGCATCCCAATTAGGGAGCTCCAGGCCGTCCTCTCCCCGGCCTTGTCCACCAGCTCCTCCAGCAGGACCCCAAGGCGTTCCCGGACCAGATTGGAGATGTAACCTCTCCAACGTGTCCTGGGTCGACCCGGGGGCCTTCTGCCGGCAGGACATGCCCGAAACACCTCCCCGGCGTCCAGGAGGCATCCTGACCAGATGCCCAAACCACCTCAACTGGCTCCTTTTGATCCGGAGGAGCAGCGGTTCTACTCCGAGTCCCTCCCGAATGTCCGAGCTCCTCACCCTATCTCTAAGGCTGAGCCCGGCCACCCTACGGAGGAAACTCATTTCGGCCGCTTGTATCCGCGATCTCGTTCTTTCGGTCATTACCCAAAGCTCATGACCATAGGTGAGGATTGGGACGTAGATCGACCGGTAAATCGAGAGCCTGGCTTTCTGGCTCAGCTCCCTCTTCCCCACGACAGATCGGCTCAGCGTCCGCATCACTGCAGACGCCGAACCAATCCGCCTGTCGATCTCCCGATCCCTCCTACCCTCACTCGTGAACAAGACCCCGAGATACTTAAACTCCTCCACTTGAGGTAGGACCTCTCCCCCGACCCGGAGGTGGCAAGCCACCCTTTTCCGGTCGAGAACCATGGTCTCAGATTTGGAGGTGCTGATCCTCATCCCAGCCGCTTCACATTCGGCTGCGAACCTACCCAGCAAGAGCTGAAGGTCAGAGCTGGATGAAGCTAGGAGGACCACATCATCCGCAAAAAGCAGAGACGAGATTCTCCTGCCACCAAACTCGACACACTCCACACCACGGCTGCGTCTAGAAATTCTGTCCATAAAAGTGATGAACAGAACCGGTGACAAAGGGCAGCCCTGGCGGAGTCCAACCCTCACTGGGAACAGGTCCGACTTACTACCGGCTATGCGGACCAAACTCACGCTCCTCTGGTAAAGGGACTGAATGGCCCTTAACAGAAAGCCACCCACCCCATACTCCTGGAGCGTCCCCCACAGGGTGCCCCTGGGGACACGGTCATAAGCCTTCTCCAAATCCACAAAGCACATGTGGATTGGTTGGGCAAACTCCCATGCCCCCTCCATCACCCTTGCAAGGGTATAGAGCTGGTCCACAGTTCCACGGCCAGGACGAAAACCACATTGCTCCTCCTCTATCTGAGATTCAACTATCGATCGGACCCTCCTCTCCAGTACCTTGGCGTAGACCTTTCCAGGGAGGCTGAGGAGTGTGATCCCCCTATAGTTGGAACACACCCTCAGGTCACCCTTCTTAAAGATGGGGACCACCACCCCGGTCTGCCACTCCACAGGAACTGCCCCCGATGACCACGCAATGTTGTAGAGACGTGTCAACCATGACAGCCCTACAACATCCATAGCCTTGAGATACCCAGGACGAACCTCATCCGCCCCCGGGGCTCCGCCGCTGTGTAGTAGTTTGACTACCTCAGCAACTTCTGCCCCCGAGATTGGACAGTCCATCCCCAGGCCTCCCAGCTCTGGTTCCTCCTCGGAATGCGCATTGGTGGGATTGAGGAGCTCCTCAAAGTATTCCTTCCACCGTCCGACTATAGCCTCAGTTGACGTCAGCAGCTCCCCTGTTTACAGTGGGGATGGAGCGAGGTGTGTACATATCATTAATAATAATGAGCAATCCTGCTGTTTTCAGCCTACCTCTGCACCAGCAAACATCTGGAGCTCAGAACAGGAGCAGAGAGAACACTAGTAAACGAGTAAACTACACCTTTAAATGGACTTAACAAAAATAAGCCATGGCTGCAGGTTTAGTTAAAACCCTTCCTTTTTGATAAGAACTTTGTTTTAGTTAATTAACAGTTGTCAGCACAAGACAAATGAAATATGTTTAGAAATGTGGAGGACAGTAAGAACCCAAGCTTCTCACTGAGCTGCAGCTGGAACTAGGGTCAGTACCGTCTGATGTTCTGTTTTTGCTCTTCTGTCTTATGGTCTTAACGGTGTTTCCAGATATGGCCATCTCCGATGAACTTCACTATCTTGAGGTTTACTTGACTGATGAGTTTGCAAAAGGACGCAAAGTGGCAGATCTTTATGAGCTGGTCCAGTACGCTGGCAACATTATACCCCGACTGTGAGTACTACCAACCTGGGCTACACGCTTGTTCCTCGTGAGGGCCTCGGGGAGCTGGTGTCTACCTCCAGCATTCACCAAGCAAGAGGCGAGGTCACCTGGAGAGTTCTCCAGTCCACCACAGGAACACACAGACAGTCACAGCTGGGCACGTTTTAGCATCTACATCATAGCTCATCGCCACCAGGGTACATCTAGTACACTGTGGTGTAAAGCGCTTTGGAGTGCTCTGACTCTGAAAGGCTATACAAGTGTGGGTGATTAATTATTTACAAGCAGCTGGTTTCTAAGTAGGGTGGCTGCGCTCAGTCCTAGCGATGGAGCAGAGAGCTCAGAATAAAGCAGCTGCTCCTCCATGTCAAGAGGAGCCAGCTGAGGTGGTTTGGGCATCTGGTCAGAATGTCTCCCAGCCAGGTGAAGCGTTTCAGGCGGGTCGACTCGGCACACATCGGCCAGGGAAGGCCTGGGGATCCTGCCGGTGGATCTGGTGGAAGTTGCTGAGGAGAGGGCGGTTTGGGCCTCTGCTGGAGCTGCCACGCTACCTCCACCCTGACCCAGACTCAGGTGGAAAGAGATGGACAGGAGTTCAGAAGCAAATCTCTTATTCATAAAATAAATGCAGCATTACTGAAACTTAATACCCGTTGCAACCGATGATTACAGAGAAAAACCAAATTCTGTCATTTTAAAGCAGAATTTGTTTAGTAGTTTTGCAGGCAGGAGCTAATCGTTTTCTCCTCTCCCTTCATCCGTCTCTCCTCAGCTATCTGCTGATTACAGTGGGTGTGGTGTACGTTCGCTCTTTCCCTCAGTCTCGCAAGGACATTTTAAAGGATCTGGTGGAGATGTGTCGTGGTGTCCAGCACCCACTCAGAGGCCTGTTCCTCAGAAATTACCTGCTGCAGTGTACCCGCAACATCCTGCCAGATGATGGCGAGCAGCCAGAGTAAGTCTAACTGCACCTCTTGAACCAGTTCACAAACATCAGAGCTAAAAACCCTCGATAAGCTACACTCTCCATCTCAAATTTAGCATTAAGTGTCAGAAACCTGCAGCTGGTATCTGTTGAATGTGGGTGAGACATCATAGTTAAGGGATGTTTCAGACTCTTAAGCCTAATTTAATCTTCTCCGTCAGCTCCACGAGGGAGAGACACGCACGCACGAACGAAAACGTTTTGCCCTCATACTTCTCCGTCTCCTGGGGAGTGTTGCAAAGCAATTCCCCGCCAGGACAACAGAGGGCGTAGCGCTGTTCACTGGTATCCTGTCATGTATCCGGTCCAAGATCGCGGCCGTTTCTCAATGCCAAGGAACCTTGCCTTGATGTCTTGGCCCCGCCCCGGTTGCCTAGGAGATACGTCATCAGGAACCGCCAAGTTCCAGTATTCATGTTCTACCGAGGCGTGTGATCTCTGTTAGCCGTTTAGCTAGCTGAACAAGGATACGCGGGAGGTGTCTTGTAGCCTAGCCTTTGTCAATAATTACCCACAATACACCGCGGTATTTTCAAAAGGATGGTGGATCAGAAGCCGGCATCTACTTCAGGGACAGTTTTCAAGTTTAAAAGTAAGTCGGCTAATTTCAAATGTTTTTTTTAGAACCAAAGAAGTTATCTATGGTTGGTTAGTTGCTTAGTAGTTGTAGCTTCGGTGGCTAGCGGGTAGTAACTCACTTATATGTTTAATTTAATAAACATACACACAATTTAAAAGTAAAAGGCTTGTTCCTTGTGTCACGCGCCGCTTCCACGGCGGTCACGTGATGCAAGTCTGTTCTATTTAACCGTTTTCTTTGACCAAGGAAGGACAGTGTCCTCGTAAGCAAGGCGCCGGGCCTCTCAGGACATCGCCTCGCCGGGCTAGGTGCCTTGACATTGAGAAACACCCTGTGTGTTTGTATTGTGGGTTTTTTTGTATTTAAGAGACTTTTTAACACAGACACATTTGTCCCTCATCCTCCTCCACCTCTTCATGCGCTCGCCATCGCTAAACCCACGTTTCTCATCATTTCCATCCATGAATAAAATGCTTGCAGTGCATCTTTTCACTCCTCCAGCCACAGGAGAATAAAATGTCCATATTTTTAGTTTTTCCGCGAGGGATTCTTCAAACTTCACTGTGTCTGCCGCTAGATATCCTCGCCTCGCTTTATGTTTTTGAGGGCACAATGGCAGCGCTGTAGATGACAGCGGTGTCCTGACCAATCATGATTTAGCGTTCTCCGTCTTGACGAATGGATGTTTAGAAAAGAGAGCTCGACTCTGTCCGTCCTTGCGAGCCTGTCTAAGAGGCCTTGGAAGGACGGATAATGGCGTTTCGTGCGTTTGTCCTGACGCAGACGGAGAAGTTTAAATTAGGCTTTAGACTTGAATTCTTTTATTGCTTCAGTAAAATAAAGACAATAACGATTTACATTATTTTCATGGCTCGGCTTTTGATCAGCTTCTTTTATTTTCCAGGGGAACAGAGGAGATGACTGGTGATATCAATGACTCCATCGACTTCGTTCTTCTTAACTTTGCAGAAATGAACAAATTATGGGTTCGAATGCAGCATCAAGGTCACAGCAGAGACAGAGAGAAGCGAGAGAAGGAGCGCCAGGAGCTCAGGATTTTAGTTGGCACCAATCTAGTTCGCTTGAGCCAATTGGAGGGTGTCAATGTGGACAAGTACAAACAGGTGTGTGTGTGTGTGTGTGTGTGTGTGTGTGTGTGTGTGTGTGTGTGTGTGTGTGTGTGTGTGAGATGCAATATTTTACTATTTAGTTTGGTTCTGGCATTTTAATACTGACACTAGCTGGATTTAAGCATTAATATGACTCCTGAAGCAGCTCTGCAGACAGATGAAGGCTGGTTGGCTTCACCAGAGCTGCTGCTGTCACTGATCACTTCTATAAACTAGATCTCACTACCAAGCACGACTGTGATCTCTCTACTCACATAATGATTTTATTTATTTACTTTTTAATTTCAGGCTTTTATGAATCACAACACCAAGCCTGTTGACCTCAAGTGTTAACAAATTGCGAGTCATGATTTATTGAACTGAAACAAAACCCCAAAGGAAAGCTGTGGTAAACAAATCCACCCCCTGATTCTTCAGCCAGTTGAACTTTCTGAGTTTCTGGTACTTAGAAGTCCTGAGATGTTGGGAATAGAAGGTAAAAATGTCGGCAGCTTGTTGGGAGACTTCAGGCCTTTTCATTTTCATTTATTTATTTATTTAAAGAGCAACTTCCACCACCAGCGTTGGACGTCTGAGCTTCAGGATAAGTTGTCCCGGTCCTCTCAGCTGTTGTCTCCATACTTTCAGGACTTTGCACAGACGTCAGCTTACCGAGACTGTGCAAGCAGGAAGGCCCAAGACCATTATTACTTTAATGTGATGGAACCTGTAAATATTGGTGGGGACATAAATGTAAGAGAGGAAGAACAAAATAAGCACTTCAGAAAGGTGAGGACATGAGTGAATACAGGACAGTGCAGCACTGTGGCAAGCTGTTTTAACATTTAATCAACAGTGGGACCTCTAATTACTTTTTTACATGGCAGTACTTAAATGCATCCTAGTAATAATTGTATTCTAATTTGTCGTAATTGTAAATAAAAACAACAGAATCGGTTCAAAAACAAAAATGGGTAGAATCTGAAGAACCAATATCTTAGTAGGGATCAGCACATCCCTAGTATATCGTCTCTACTCAGGAACTACCTAATGGGGTTTGTTCAAGTCTGATGAGTCAGCAGATGTTTAGACAGCAGACAGTCGACTCCAAACAGTTGATGCCAAACCTTTCCTCACATGTCTTTCACTGTAAAAACAAGTTCTATATACAGCAGGATGCAAAAGTTTGGAGAGGCTTGTTCTTCTTTATGATTTCCTGCATAAGTCGTTGGGGGTTACGATAAAAAGTTTCAGGTTAATACGTCATAAAGGAGACACAATGGTATTTGAGAATTAAAACAAAGTTTATAGGATTTGCAGAAAATGTGCAATAATTGTTTAAATAAAGTCAGGCAGGTGCAGAAATGTGGGCGCCACAAAAAGAAATGAGCCCAATATTTAGTAGATCCTGCTTTTGCAGAAATTACAGCCTCCAAACGCTTCCTAAAGCTTCCAGTGAGAGTCTGGGTTCTGGTTGAAGTACTTTGGACCATTCTTCTTTAAAGGGACTTTACGGACTTTTGAATTTTTATGCTCGCGTTTGCCCCCTCAGGCCAAAAGCGTAACGTCAGCTTCAATAGTACGCTCGTGCACGAGGCGCGCATGCTGTACGTGCACACTCCTTAATGAAAATAACAGCTGAGACAGTCCTGTGTGTGTGTGGGTGGGTGTGGGTGTGTGTGTGTGTGTGTGGGTGTGGGTGGGTGGGTGGGTGGCCCGGAGGACAGGAGAACGCGCAGCTAATTAATTAAATAATTTGGTTCTGTAACTTTCTCTTCAGCACAGCCGACAAAGGTTTAAGATGGGTCAGTCCTCCTGCATGCTCAGATCATTCCCTTCCCTTGCTTGAAAAATTGTTCCAAAATGAAAGTTGAACCCACGTCTTTTTTATCTGTGAATTCAATGCCGTTCGGCAAGTCTCAAATAACAATTTTGGCGTCTTACTGTAAAAAAATATACCATTAATGTAAAAAAGAAACTCTAAATATACTATGTCCACACCCAGAATCAAACCCGTATCTTCCACACGAGAGTCAGATGTCTTACTAGGTGAGCTAAAGCGCCAGTGACGTCTTTTGTATCTGTAACATTTATATCCATGATGACAGCTGAAACAACGTCTGCTGCTAAAGCTACTGATGGCAAATGCTACGGGCTATGCCTGAGCGTGAACGCGCATGAAGCAGCCTGCTCGACCCGAGCAGCTCTCTTTTTCTGTGATTTTACAGAAAAAACAGGCAATCACAGTAAAAATGCCAGGGCTCATTCTACAGGACCAGGGCATTGCAGGAGAATGTATGAAGAAGAAATTTATTATTTCTATACATGTTTTGGCTGTCAAACTTCCATAAAAACATCTCTAGTTCATTCAGGTCTGATGGCTCCTGAGCACAGACATCTCTCTTAAGCCCTATTTAAAAGTGTAGAGTTAAATATTGTTGCTTTTAAGCTTAATATATTACCTTTACTTATGATCAATAAGATGTGATATTCTATATAAATATAGGTTATCAACCTGCTTGGTCTTTGGATGTTTAATCAGAAGATTCTAGGATTTGAGTCAGGTTTATAAAAGGTAAGACATTTATTTGTAAAAAAAATTAAAAACATGACAACTAGGACACTATGTGAGGAATGAATCTAGTTGGGACTCCCAAGGGCAGCTGATGGGTACCAGCAGTCCAAGCAGTCAACTTTCTCCCATCTCCTGACTGCATCACTGGAGCTCAGCCACAGTGACGTTTGGGTTCTTCTTTACCTCTCTCACCCAAGGCTTGTCTCCACCGGTAGCTCAGTTTGGCCGGAGGGCCTGCTCTAGGAAGGATTCTGGTCATCCCAAACATCTTCCATTTAAGGATTGTAGAGGCCACTGTGTGCTTAGGAACCTTTAGTGCAGCAGAGATGTTTTTGTCTATGACCAGATCTGTGCCTTGCCTCAAATCTGTCTCTGAGCTCTTCAGGCAGTTCCTTTGACCTCATGGTTCTCATTTGCTCTGACATGCACTGTGAGCAGTAAGGTCTTATATAGACAGGTGTGTGTCTTTCCTAATCAAGTCCAATCAGTGTAATCAAACACATCTGGACTCCAATGAAGGTGTAGGACCAGCTCAAGGATGATCAGAAGAAATGGAAAGCACCTGAATAAAATATACGAGTTTCACAGCAAAGGGTCTGAATACTCAGGACCATGTGATATTTCAGTTTCTCTTTTAAAAAAGCTGCAGATATTTAAAAAGTTGTTTTTCTGTCAACATGAGGTGCTGTGTGTAAATTAAATATGAATTTAAATGATTTTAGCAAATGGCTGCAGTATACCAAAGAGTGAAAAACTGAATACTTTACATACCCACTGTATGTCTCACAGCTGGCCAGGGAATGCCTTGGGATTCCCCGGAGGAGCTGGCCCAAGTGGCTGGGGAGAGGGAAGTCTGGGCCTCTTGGCAAACCAATTCTGGATAAGCAGGAGAAAATGGATGGGAGGAGTAATTGCACTTTTTGTAAATCCTATGAACGGTTTCACTTTTCTAATATCACCGTGTGTGTGTCCGATATGATTAGCTGACATTTCTTATCATAATCAACCATTTATACAGGAAAATCATGAAGATCAACAAGGCTGTCCAAACTTTCACATCCCACTGTACTTGTCCAATGTTGTCCAATTCAGTCTTCAATGAACTGGATACGTTACGGTCTTGGTGGGATTAAGACTTGGTTTATAATCCAAACACTGAGTACTGACAGACATCAGGTTTTTGTGCAATAATTCTGTCTTGTTTCTTTTCACAGATAGTTTTACCGGGCGTGCTGGAGCAGGTTGTGAACTGTAGAGACTCACTGGCTCAGGAATATCTGATGGAGTGCATAATTCAGGTATTTGGTGTAGGTTTTTTTTTTAAATCTCAAAACGTACAAAGCGTGAAAGTTCTAGAAGGGACCTTTTGACTAGCTAGTTAAAACCAGGATGCACCAAAATGAAAATTCTTGGCCAAATCCAACAATAAGGAAACCAAGGCCGAAACCCCCCAAAAATCATTGTCAGTAATTCAACATTTATGGCTCCAATGTGTACTAATCTCACTAGCATAAAGGCATTGCAATAAATCAATTACAAACCATGAAAATATTTATGTAGCACTGATGGGGTTGGGCATCGATTGAAACCGAGACGGTCAGTTTTTCGAATCCTAGTTTGGATTCCCAGGCTGCCGACTGGAGGAGGAATCTGGGGCCGGTGATCTGGGGGTGATCTACAAATTCTGATCAATTCCTGTCAGAGCTGATCACACCAGCTGCAGTCCTCAGGGACCCTGAGAGCAGCATCAGCTTGGGTTGAAAGCTAATGGAACGGAGAAGTTTCTCTAACTTTCTCTGTTTTGCTGGATTACGTTAACAAATTATCTTCCAGAAAAAAACGACTGGCGCTTGAGTGTCGCAAATCTTTAGGGTGTGTTTCTGTTGGCATTTTCGGAGTTTGTGGAGTTTATTAAGAGAGGACAAACTGACAATAGTGTCTGGTCATTTTTGACAAAGCGTTTGTCTGTTTTGGCCGACTCTGATTCTTATGAGTAATATTCACCCTCTGATGAAGATTTTTACTCATCCAGTGAGAAAGAAAGTTATGCTGCAGCTGCGCAACAGAGTGTGTGCTTCATGAGAGTAAACACGCTTCACACACATGACCCAGATCTTATTTCACTGTTCAGGACGTGGTGGGTGCAGAAAGGATGGTAAAAACACGTACAGGCTTAGTGGGAATGTAAAAGAAAAGCCAGGCAGATGCGGTAAATGTGAAACTGGAAGTAAAAAGTGCTTCACATAATTGATACGATAATTCCGGAGATCGTAATAAAACACTACTAAAAGGGGAAAACTTTACTTCTGAAATCAGTCCGAATGTACGATTTTTATGAAGCAAACTGCAAGTTGCCACATGAGTTTAGTAACACCAGTTTTAAACCAGCATGACCACTGCTTATTACTCTGCTTCACAAGCTCTTCCCATCAGCGGGAGTTAACCACGAGTCTCGGCGACTCTACCAGGTCATTCCGAGGACATACCTCTGTTTAGCTATTTCATTGGCTCCTGAAAATGGGCTGAGAAATAATCCTTTCAGCCACATGATTGTGCCTGAATGACTTCATTGAATGTTTATATTTGTCATCTACTCTTTGATGAGGGCCCAAAATGACCCAAAAATGCCTTTTCAGCCAAAACAGGTCATCAGGTGAACCCTGCTTCGTTTCAGCTCGTCCCGCCCGCATGTGTCGCTTTCTCTAAGTTGTGCTAAATTAAAAATTCTTTGCCAAAAGCCCTCTGATGACCAACACAAGTCAGGATTTTTATTCTGAATCTTTTCAGACGGAAATTCGTAAAGGGACAGTGTGTATCTTCCCTGGCGATAGGGGGCAGTACATACCTAAATCATTGCATGCAAGCATTACTTCGTGTTCAAGTAAGACCTTACCAACGGATGGCCATTAGGGTAAAAAATCTTTGTGATCCAGCAAAATAACAAACTTATCAGATTCCCTTTCATCACTGGCAACGAGTGACGAGGTGTAAAAGAACAACGTTTATTAATGCTGAAAGTTTTGTAACCATTAGTTACAAATCAGTAAATGCATTCTGTCCTCACGGGCTTCTGTAGAAGGAAACATGGCATCCAATGTGGCGTCGCCCAGAAACTTAGACCAGCTCCCATGTATTTTAGACCCAATTTCTATGGTTATATGATATGAAACCACCAATATTGTTCAACAACTGGACATCTTCATTTGTTTACAACTCTCCAATGGACATTTCCAGAGATCCAACGGTTAAAACTACACATCGTCACTTTAATAACACTCCCCAAAGCTCTCCCTGCAGATTCTGATGGTACCCTTCTACCTTCAGCAAATGTCATGCTCTCATGAAAAACCACCAAGATGGTGAACAATTTGTGTTTTTTCACAATAATTACAAGTTTCCTTTAGTTCCAACTGTTAACAGTTGGCCTTATGGCGCTTTCCTTTTACCATGGACGCAATCGACATGTTTGCACCACTGCTACTGCTGTCACTATGAAGAGCTGCTATGTTAAACGTTGAAGTTAGAGTAAAAGAATTCTCTGACTTTACGAGTGAGGCATTCGACTTCGGGCGGGTCTCTCAGTTAATTTTTGCTGCTCGGAAGTTGGAATTTCCAAATATCGAATACAAATGGAACACCATTACTACGGTGAAGCATCAACTCTAAACAGACTTTTTACAGAGTTTTTTTTACTTGCTTTGTATTTTGCTAATTCATCTGTGCTGATCTAGGTAATTTTAGGATCGGTGAACTTCAATCAATCAAGTCACATTTATTTTCACATGACCATGTCAATCAGGAATTCATCTTACAACAACATTCATCGCCGTCTTCCGCGTGAGAACGGGGCGCGGAAGGACAACATTATTTAAAAAATGAGAATTATGACTTATGTGCTGAGCTTGTTCTTTGTAAAATGTGCGAACTGAACTTAGAACTGATTAATGTTTAACACCAGCTTTCCCAACACTGTTTGGCTGACCCGGTGAAATTACTCCGAAGTTCGGTTTGCTGCAGAAACCTGCAGACACACGGATGCAGACCTTTCTTCTCCCCGTGAAGCTAGTCTCGAATCTGAAACCCACCTCCCATGGAGGTAGGCCACTAATGCCCACTTTCTCCGAGTTGTGAGTACAGAGGGGATGAGTTCATGCTGCCGTTGAGAGCCAACCCCTAACCCGTACAGCTGGGTGGCCGACACCAACACGTAATCGAGTCGGAGCATTTTTAGGTGACTGCATTGACAAATGTGAAACCGGATTTCTTTTCTGGTCTCAGATTTGGAAACGAAGCGGATGTGAAAGGTTTGGGTGATCCATTTGCCACAGTAACTTTTGCATTTGCATAATGTATAAACGTAACATCGAGCAACCCCTCTTTCATAAGGTTTTCCCTGATGAGTTCCACCTTCAAACATTGAATCCTTTCCTGCGTTCTTGTGCGGAGCTGCATCAACACGTCAATGTGAAGAACATCATCATTGCCCTCATTGACAGGTACGTCTGTTGTAGAATGGTAAAACGTGGCAGTAAACCATGAAGGCTTTCTGACTCATGCTGCATGTGTAAAACCATGTTTGCCTAACATTATTAGATCTTCTACATTGAAAGACTTTGCCTTCAGTACATTAGTGCAGGGCTATACAATTACAGGCCTGGAGGGCACATTTTGGTTTTAACCTGCTTCAACTCACATGATGTCAGTCAGCAGGTGATTAACAGGCTTCTGCGGAGCCTGATGAGCTGCTGCACAGGTGATTCACCACTGAATCTAGTGTGTTGGAGCAGAGAAAGTACTCAAAAGTGCTGGATGCCGGCCCTCCAGGCCCGGAACTGACTAGCCTTGAGTTAGTGTGAGCAACGTGGATAATGGAGTCTGTTGCTGCTGTGGTGGAGATGAAGGGTCACGATGGAGGAACGAGTAGAAACTGAGCTTAAAGGGAATAAGGGGTGAATGTTTGATGGTTCCATTTTCCCTTAAACACCCCCGAAATCCTAAACGTCCATAATGGACAATTCTTCACTTACAGCTTTTAAAACATTCGCCGTTGTCAAGGACACGTCCTTCAGTCATGCATAACCTGAAGGTATGAGTCCGTTTGGCACCAGACCCGTCCAACAGACCTGTTGTTGGGTGGGGACTGATTCTCAGTAAACTGAGTTTTGGGTGATTTTCAGATGAGGAACAGTTTAAAATTCTTGTCCGATGTCACAGACCCCCCCTCAGCCTCTGCTTACTGGTCTGGCTCTTGGTTCAACGGTGTAGATGCAGAAGAAGCTCACGTCTCTGTAGATCATAGCAGTTATTCACAGGTTCCTCTGTCCACGTGGGACAAAAGGAGGACCAGTTTCACTCATAAAAACTCACCATTAAAATATCGTGTCTTGTTAATCTAGACTGGCTCTCTTTGCTCATCGAGAGGATGGCCCGGGTATCCCAGCTGAGATCAAGTTATTTGACATCTTCTCTCAACAAGTGGCCACTGTCATTCAAGTGAGTTGGTGGTAGGGTGTGGGTGTGTGTGTGTGTGTGTGTGTGTGTGTGTGTGTGTGTGTGTGTGTGGGTGTGTGGGTGTGTGTGTGTGTGTGTGTGTGTGTGTGTGTGTGTGTGTGTGTGTGTGTGTGTGTGTGTGTGTGTGTGTGTGTGTGTGTGTGTGTGTGAATATATCGTCTATAACAAGACTGTGCATATACCTGAGTGTGTCCTCCTCCAGTCTCGTCAAGACATGCCTTCAGAGGATGTGGTTTCTCTCCAAGTCTCGCTCATCAACTTGGCCATGAAGTGCTACCCAGAACGTGTTGACTACGTCGACAAGGTCCTGGAGAGCACAGTGGAAATCTTCAATAAGCTTAATTTGGAACAGTAAGTTCAAATAACTCAAACTAATAAGTATGGAGTAAAGGTCTGAGGCCTAATGAGACAAATGAGAGAAACAAGAACATAAAATGGCTCATGAGTAAATAAACATATTTAAAAGGTATTTAGGCAGCTAGAAAGTACTACCTGGTCCATCAGGTAGCTTATGGTCAACGTCTACCTGATAGAAAGCATGTTTGACCCCCCAGACTTTCTACTATTAAGGGAAATTATTTAATGTAAATCTTAAAAATAAGCAACCATCATATGCTGTAACAGTGGAGTTGGTCCTCCATGTGGAGAGGAGCCAGCTGCTTCGAGTCGTCCCAGTGCAGACAGAAGGGCGTGTTTTGAAGATGCCAACAAAACCACATCCTCTGCAAAGACCACAGAGGTCTGCACAAGGCCCATGTCGTCCCCAGGGATACAGAAAGAACATTCCTGGTGTGAGCTGAAGGTCTCACAGACACAAAGTTTACCAGCTTTGTCCATCCCCCACCCTCCACCTGGCGGTGACAGCACTCCCCAGCTTATGGACCATCCAAGTCAGCACAGAAGTTTAAAAGCCATTTGGGTTGTGATCTGGATAGTCGCTCTTTCCAGTCACACCTCTCCAGGTAACTCTTGTCATTGGCCACTTAGGTTTTGAACCGAAGTTACCCAGAAAAATAACAGGACCTCCAGATGGTTCCGCCTCAAGGACCTGATCCAGAAACTCCAAGAAGGCTGGGTAATCCTGTGTGGCGCGTAGGCCAAAGCAGCGGTTGGCACCTTTTCTCCTCCAGGTTGAGCCAAAGGAAGGAAAACCTCTTCCCTTTGAGGGAAAACTCTGGTTTCCATCCGGGGACTTGTGACTGTCCCCACATCTGCTCAGTAGTCCAGCCCCTCTCTCTCCCAGGAGTTGGGTTAAATCATGAACGACCCACATTTGTGTAGCACCTCTCAGAGTAAGGACTCCAAAGCACTTCACACTACAGTGCATCATTCATCCATTCACACACACATTCACACACTGGTGGGGAAGAGCTATGCTGTAGCCACAGCTGTCCTGGGGCGCACTGACGGAGGTGAGGCTGCCGAGCACAGGCGCCACCGGTCCCTCCGACCACCACCAGCAGGAAAGGTGGGTTAATGTCTTGCCCAAGGACACAATGGCAGCATTTTGTGCCTGGAGCTGGTATCGATCCTACAACCCTTTGATCGCTGGGCAACCGCTCTAGCTCCTGAACTGCTGCTGCCCCGTTCTGAGCCCAAATATATGTAGTTGTTTTCAAAGCCATGTTGCTGGGAGACCCTAGATTACACAGTCCTTGGAACGTTGGGAGTTCTCTAACCTCTCCAACACGACGGAGTGGAGCCTCTGCAGAAAGCCTGTAGATGACCAGGAACGCTCGCAGGGAGGGGATGTTTAAACGTTTAGAGTGTAGATTTTCTTAACGCTGGACCCATCTAGACTCTATGCATGCACTTCTCATCCTAAAGCACAGCATCGTTGTAAAAACATTACCCACAATGCAATGTGTTTAAAGGAAAGGCTTCACTGGTGCTACACGGGTCACAGCCTTTTCTTGGATAATGAGAGGGATTGATTTAGGATGTTTGTTCTGTTTCCTTCCAGCATTGCGACCAGCAGTGCCGTGTCTAAAGAACTGACTCGACTTTTGAAGATCCCTGTAGACACCTACAACAACGTGCTGATGGTGCTACAGCTCAAGCACTTCCCACCGCTCTTTGAATACTTTGACTTTGAGTCCCGCAAGAGCATGAGCTGCTATGTGCTGAGCAACACACTCGACTTCAACACCGTTATTGTGGCACAAGAACAGGTTGGAACCCAAACTTGTCAGACTATGAGAAAAAAAATCTATTTTAGGTGAATTTAAAATTCAGAACTGATGTGGAACAAATAGCTGTTCCCTGGACAACGAGTGTCCTTCACAGGCATGGAAACTGCTTGAACAGGTCTCATTGATGATTAAAACTGATTTTCCAGGTGGATGCCATCTTGAGCTTGGTGTCTACACTGATCCAGGACCAGCCAGACCAGCCAGCTGATAATCCCGACCCAGAGGACTTTGCTGAGGAGCAGAGCCTTGTGGGTCGTTTCATCCATCTTTTTCATTCTGAAGATCCTGATCAGCAATATCTTGTGAGTTCCTCGTTTATCTTTGTGAGGATGACCTCAGCTGTCTTCTGTTTGCTCTGTGCTGAGGCTGTTAGCAGGTTGCTGTTGCTAGGGTAGATGTTACTAACGTTTTAACCACCATTTTGGTTTAGATACTCAACACAGCCCGAAAACATTTTGGTGCAGGCGGAAATCAAAGGATTCGTTTTACGTTGCCCCCCCTGGTTTTTGCTGCCTACCAGCTGGCCTTCAGATACAAAGACAATTCCTCGACCGTAAGAACCAAATCTTCTTTCTGCACCACTAAGGTTGTGTTTCAGCATCTACTTTACTACTAAACCATCCTGAATCTTCCTCCTTTCAGGATGATAAGTGGGAGAAGAAGTGCCAGAAGATCTTTTCTTTTGCCCACCAGACCATCGGTGCCCTCATCAAGGCTGAGCTGTCAGAACTGCCTCTGCGGCTATTCCTGCAGGGGGCGCTGGCTGCTGGGGAAATTGGCTTTGAGAACCACGAAACTGTAGCGTATGAGTTTATGTCACAGGTGAATAACCAGCGTTTATACCGGTGTTGTTTATGTTAACAAAAATGATGGCGAATTGATTTCGTTGTTGCCCATCTTTTCATGATGAAATCGAGACGCTGACGAGCAAAAAAACTGCTCTTTGGTGACTAAAACGTGACGAGACAAGCGGGAGTTTTCGTTAACGAGCTGAGACTAGACGAAAACTATGATCAAAATGCACATTTCTGCCCGTCTCGCAAAAGTTAAAAGTAGCGCTGCGGTCTGTCTCAGCTGCTCACAGACCAGCTTCAGCAAGTAGTGAAGCTGGCTCCCCACCCACATCAGAGAGCACTACCCACTCTATCTGGCTGTGTCTCAATTCAGGGTCTGCATCCTTCGAAGGACCCAGTCTACTTGGCCGACGTGAGCTGGGTCCTCCGTCGGCCGAGTAGACCGGATGTTAACGGCTGTGAATTTGGACAGGCCTAGCCTTCATGAATTCTCGCCTCTCCCTCGGCGAACGTTCCGTCGCCTAGCAACCGTGTAACCGCTGAGCAGAAGGAACTTTAAACGATGGAGCTCGAAGTTTTATTTCGATCTTTAATCATTTCCTTGACTGTTGGAGAGCTAATTCAGAGAAAATACTTTCGACTAGCTGAGCCTGAGCAAAGATGTGATAATAGTTTTTAATACTTTCTAAGGGTCTTAATTTGACCAAAACCCATTTATCACCTTTTAAGACTTATCAGACCCAGCGGGATACCCTCTAGTAAACAATTCTCATTTGTAAACCAAAATAAAATTCAAGAGTTTAATGCAGAACTGATTTTATTTAGATATTTCTTTTATATGTACATGTTTAATCATTATTAACCATTTTTTTCTAGCAAAGTAAAACGCGTGTCAAAGTTCTCCCTTCTCTCCTGTGCCCTCTGCTGCTCTGCCTCCATCTGCAGCCTCATGTCCTCCCTGATCAGCTCCAGAAGCTGGTCATCGCTGTCACCTTCCCCTGGATGCCCATTTTCTCCAGAATAGTCTTAACAAACATGTAAGAAAAGAAACAGGAAGAGAAAAGAGGACAACGGGTTATTCCTTTCATGTTTTCGCAGAAAAAAATAAACTCAAACGAGTTTTTAAAATATGAGATGTTTTTTTTTTATCTTTATTGACACATTTGCAGCAGACAAGACATAACATATTGACAAAACAACATCGATGTACAGGGTGTACATATTTGGTCACTCTACGTTCTCAGCTCATTGAGGTCTACCTGCGTTGTTCCCAAAAAACAACCTCGGTTACGAAGAGACTAGGGATGTCCCAGTACAACTTTTTCACTTCTGATACGATACCGATATTGCAGCCTTCAGCGTTGACCAATACTGATATCAATCAGATACAATGTCAGCACAAATCATCCATACTTTGAGTAGAACTATTTCTTACTGTGGAATGTATGAAAGGCTTGATCAAGTGATACGATTCAGTCGGAGAACAACAGTAAGTATGAAAGAAGAAGAAATTGTTTTTAACCTTTAAACTGTGAACCTTAACGGACTGCTGATATCGGAGATTTTTGAAGCAGTCCAAAATAATCCGATAGTGTTTTTGGGCTGATGTCGAATTACTTTGGATATCAATATCGGAACGGGACATCCCTAAAGGAGACGGTCACTGGCTGCCTAGATGGAAAAGATCCAGACAAGTTGCAGAGGTTGTAAACGCGGTATTGACAGAAGAGAGGTCTCTGTCTGAAATAAAGACAAATAGTCGGATAGACTGAATGTTCCAGTCACTCATTTACAGGTTAGTTTAGGAGATGAATGGGTTGCTGGTTTGGGAAAATTAGTTTTGAGTGCAGAGGAGTCAGTTGGGTTACCGTGGCAATGCCTGTGTGTTCCGGGAGCAGAGTGGAGGATGTTCTCAGAGGTTCTCGTGCTGAAATCCTTAAGTTGTCGATAACAATAAATCTTATAAATGACCCACAGTTGTGTAGCACCTTTCAGAGTTAGAGGACTCCCAAGCACACCACAGTGTATCGTTCATCCATTCACACACGCTGGTGGGGATGAGCTACGATGTAGCCGCAGCTGCCCAGAGGCGCACTGACAGAGGCGAGGCTGCCGAGCACAGGCACCACTGGTCCCTCCGACCACCACCAGCACACAAGGGGGGTTAGTGTCTTGCCCAAGGACACAAGAGCAGAGCTCTCTGCCAAGAGCCAGGCTTGATCCTGCAACCCTCTGATTACTGGACAACAACCTCCTGAGCTACTGTTGCCCAAAATACTCACTGATATGTGCATAAGTACGGTTGATAAATGAAGACCCTGCTTTCTTCCCTGAAACAGGCATTCTCCCTGTATGAGGATGAGATCAGTGACTCCAAAGCGCAGCTGGCAGCCATCACATTGATCATCGGCACCTTTGAGCGAATGAGATGTTTCAGCGAGGAGAATCACGAGCCTTTAAGGACTCAGTGTGCTCTGGCTGCTTCCAAACTTCTGAAGAAGCCTGACCAGTGTCGAGCTGTCAGCACGTGTGCTCATCTGTTCTGGTCGGGTCGCAGCACTGACAAGAATGGTGAAGAGGTGGGTTTAGTTTTTATTTCATATAGTCTGACTTGTATTTCTAGAGTGGTGCTTTAAACGGATGCCATCGAGCTCATCTGGATGCAAGGCCGGATTAACCATATGGGCAACTGGGCAATTGCCCAGGGCAGCAAGGGCACGAGCAAAACACTGTATCTAGGGTGACTGTACGTCCTCTTTTCCCCGGACATGTCCACTTTTCACTCTCTGCCCGGGGCGTCCGGACTGGGGGTTCTTTTATTGATGAAAATGTCCGGCTTTTCATCCAGGAGCAGGGATCGAATTATGGGGGAGTTGTATGTCCTACACATCCAGAGGAGCCGGAAAAAAGTTTTCCACCTATATTACATCATTTATGGACTCTTTAGAGCAGAGAGCACAGATAGCGGCAGAGCGATGATCGTTGTAGCACAGCGCTCCAGGCAGCTGCTTCCAGCGCACGGTCCATTCTCAAAGAGGCGCAACCAAAAAAACTATAGTTAACACACGATCGTTCATGTCCGCACATGTTCTCTATTTTCTGTCTTATTTGTGCCTGAAGCGCTCTGCTACTGCGGAGCTCATCACCTGTGCTGCGGTGACTCCACCTCACTGACGCAGCATCTAAACGCGCTCTCCGCTTTGCGGTCAGGAGATCCCTTTGATCTGCTCAAAAGTAACTGATGAGGTGAAAAAGTAAGAATCCAGGCAGCAGTTTTTCTGGAGAGTTTAGAGGAGATGCAGGAAGATGAGAGACAGACAGGACAGGAAAATAGTTAAATAAAAACAAGAAAACTAAACAAGGAGTTGAAAAGTAAAATGTAGGTAGATTTATCTCCACTACACGTTTTTACCTGTATAAAACAATAAGTTATGCACTTGTCATAGTTATACATCTGATACAATTCAGATCACCTTCAAAACTCAATCACACACCCAGGGCCGTTTCAAGGCGTTCTGGGGGCCAAGGCAAAATGACCCCCCACCCCCCTCCCCATAACTGGGCTCCCCAGAAGCCTCTGTGTAATTCATACCCTCTCCAGGAGTGTTAGTTATACAGTGTTTATAAAAGCCCCTCAGACATCACTGACATGTTCTAATGTTATCAGATGACAAACTTAATTATCAGACATGCTGTCTCATCTGCTGCTTTTCTAAACTTGCAAAAAGTAACAAAACCGTTTGAAAGCTGCTATTTGTGGATTCTCTGAAAGTTTCCATGGAGTGTGTGACCACTTATTTTTTCATTGATCATTGATCCTATCATCTAATCTCACAGCTGAAACAAGCATCCTTAATAATCTGTGCACAGGAAGCTCACCGATGCTGTAGTAAAACAAAAGGTATAATAATTTCTTATTAAAAAAAACTTGTTGCAGCACTAAAGCAGAAAAATGAGATTTTGCAATAAATATACTAAATATTTACATATGAATTGTTTTAGAACCCTTTTATTGGCAGAATCTGATATTAATGTAGTTCTTACAAAAAATGGGTCCCAACGTGGTTTGTGTGGCGTTGCCATAGTGTGACGTCATAGGCACAGATCCCCTGTCCTCTTGTTAGGAAATGGAAATATGGTCACCCTATATTAAACAAACTGTCCACCCGGGCTTTTGCGCTGCACAGAGACGCTTCGCTGCCAATGACTTTGAACGTCAGTTGAGAATCAGTCTCATGCAGACTGACCAATGAAGAGAGGGCCTCAGTTTAAGACCCTCTCCTCATTGGTCAGTCCACACGAGGTGGGTCAAAGGTTACCCTGAGCGGTTATGTGATGTCAGGCATTCAAGTATTGAGTATATTTACTGCATATTACAGTAAAATATTCTGTATGTGATCATATTATGGTGATCCTTGGGTCGTGATGATGGGGCCCTTTAATATTGTTGCCCAGGGTACAACAAAGTGTTAATCTGGCCCTGTCTGGATGCACAGAAACAGTCAATCTGAGAGGAAATGTTCAGGCCTCGTTTCCTGGAGACAGAACCTCATAGTTCAGTCCGATCATCCGTCCATACAGTTTTTCCTTTTTGTCTTTTTCTCCTAAACTTTACTGATTTTGCTTCATAAATGTTTGTTTACTCTAGTACATCAATAACCTAACACTATAATTATATGGTATGACGACTCCTGGGGTCTCATTTTTCAAGCTTGCTTACGCACACAACGGGGTCGGAAAACTACGTAAGCAACTTTCCACGCAAACTTTGGGATTTATGAAATAAAACTTAGCGGAAAAATATGCGCAACTTTAAGTTGACTAAGGACCTGGCTTACACACATGTTGGACATGGAGAGCACCTGCAGTGCTGCTGCTGAGAAGGATAAAATTATGAAATCCTGCAGCATTATCACTTGTACCGCTTCGTTTTCACACAGAATAAGCCCCCCCCACACACACACACACACACACACACACATGCGCGCACACACACACACGCGTGCACACACACACACATGCGCGCACACACACACACACACGTGCACACACACACATGCGCGCACACTCACACAAACACACACGCACACACACACTAGTGGTGGGCATAGATTAATTTTTTTAATCTAGATTAATCTCACTGTAATCTTGGAATTAATCTAGATTAAAATGGCTTATTCAAATTCTGCTACTTAGTGTGCTACCTAGATAATGAATAAAAGCAAGTCTTTGAGAATAGAGGCGTATTTCTTGTTTCAATAATGCAACACAGACTGATAAAGCAGTTTTACTATGATAACTGATGATGAAAATAAATAATGATCAATAAGTATTTGTGTTTAATAGCTGTTTATTCAGTTCAACAAATTCTGCACTGTAGGTCTACAGAATAGGTAACTATTTACAGTCAGTAGCATTTGGTCAATCAGTCCAAGCTCTATTTCTCCTTCTTCCACCAGTCACTCAAGTAGACCAGCTTGTTCACATTGTCTGGTGACAAACTAGATCTTCTCTTCTGCACAATATGGCCTGCTAAAGAAAAAAGTATATATATACACACACACATACACACATACATACATACATACATACACACACACAAACTATCTGGCCTGGGGAGGGTGTTACATTTCTGGGGTGCCCTTCCAATGCCCCTCTTTAGTTTGCATGTAGGATCGCCTCTGGTGAATAGGAGCGAGAGCTGGAAATGATGCCACAGCTCACCTGTATGAGCAGAAGCCAACTGTTGCTGTTGTTGTCTGAAAACGGCAAGGGGAGTTATCCTAGCTCAACTTTTCTAAACAAATATAAAAATTTATGAGTAAAACGTTTATTTTTGCAGGTGAATTTGAGTCGAAGCCACATGAACAACGACCTGTAGAAACAATTTATCACTATCACAATAAACAGCTGCTAAAAGAGCTAAACTTAGTTGGAAACCGCACCTGTCTGAGAAAGTATTGTCTCGGTTTTCTCACATCCGAGCGCTGCTTCGGCCGCGGACGGTGAAGTGTGGCCCGGGGAAAGCCCGGCTGGAAATGTCAGAGGTAAACAAAACAAAATAAAAAGAATGAAAGTCGAATTTATGGATTAAACTCTGGTGAAAGTACATAAATTATTTACTTGTCCCGCGTGATGAGAAGGGACAAGCGCTGCTGGTGGCGAAGGTGCGACTGTTCGACTGCATGGGGAACATTAAACTCCGCGAGCCTGGCGTCCGTCCATACGTACGATGATCCGCGCCAACCAGGTATCCATCCGCGCAATGTGAAATTCATCATAGCTTACTTAGTATAGACCCAGATCCCAACCCAACTTTGAGAATAGATTAACGGCGTCATTTTTTTTATCGCGCGATAAGAGTCCGGTTTTGCCGCAGTGCGTTAACGTCGATAACGGCCCACCCCAACACACACACACACACACACACACACACACACACACACACACACACACACACACACACAGCCTGAAGTGCAGAATGCAGAATATCAGCAGGGGGGCAGATTGAGACGGAACATCATGCGTCTGTGACAGTGTGTGTGTCCTGTCACTGTGACCTGATCGATCATGCGCCCTGGCTACTTGGACAAGGGAGATCTCTGTCTGGTTGACTGGTTAGTGTGCATGACTTTCACCCAGGAGTCTGGGGATCAAATCCCGATTGGACCATTTTTTTTGATCCGCCACAGATCTCTCTGAAGAACTCGGCGTTGACGGCTTCAGCAACGCTGTGCCACTCCGTGGGTTTTCTCTTATTTGTTTTGCAAAAGCACTTCCTTTCATTTCTCCACCTCACCTACAGGTACCTCAACTTCTGCTTGTGAAATAGCGCTTCCTTGATCTACGGTCGTGATCGAAATGCTGCAACAACCAGCTTATGTAAACGCATGAGATCCACAAGACACTTTGCATTGACTATTTATGGCAGTAAGTGGGCGTGGTGAGGGCGGGATGTGACTAAAATGCTGCTGAGAAACATTCTCATTAGTCTCGGATCTATGAAGCGGAGATTGCGTGCACCTGTGCGTACTCCATGTTTGATAGATCACAAACCTACTTGGCGCAAGTACATTTTTTTGCTGAGCTTAAAAGGATTCTACGCAATGTTTGATAAATGAGACCCCAGATCTGTTAACCTTCTTACATGCTTCATGTTTATAAAGTACCACATATTAATTATTGAATCTGTTGCACACTGTAAAGCCCAAGCTGTGGTGTTGTTTAGATCCGTGACGGGAAGCGAGTGATGGAGTGCCTGAAGAAAGCCCTGAAGATAGCCAACCAGTGTATGGACTCATCCCTGCAGGTCCAGCTTTTCATTGAGATTCTCAACAGATACATCTGCTTCTACGAGAGAGAAAACGATGCGGTAGGAGAAGTTATTTATTCTTTTGATGTTTACTTTTTCAGTTACTCTTAAGCCAAGATGGAAGAAAGTGTTATCTTGTAACGGGTAAAGAATAATTACAAAAAGATAGTGTTGGCACAGATTTAGTCTGACAGGTTAAATGTTGTACTGTAGAACAAATCATCTCTGATGTGCACATAAGAATACCAGGTTATATTTCTACTTTTCTTTTGGACTAAAGTGTCTCAGTTTGGTTAAAGATGATGGAGGGAAAACCAGACTAAACTAAAGGTGTTCAAATCAGTTATAAGAAGGTAACTGGTAACTCAAACACTTCAAATGAATGAACAGTATTTAAAAAAAATGTAATTTACTCCAGTTTCAAAGCAGACGGGACAAAATATTAGCCTTGTTTACTTGATCAGGGATGCACGTTAACATTTTGGCTTATAGCACTGGTGCTATGAAGGTCGCAGGTTTAGTAGTACAGAAAAAAAAGCTGTAGCACCAGCATAAAAAGTTTGTTACAATCTCTACAAACCAAAAGTAGCTCTTACAATTACTTAAACACACTGACAAACACCAGTGCATATAATTAAAACACTATAAAAACCACCAAAGCTAATTCCTGGTAGCTGAGTCTAACTCACGTACTTGACAATAAAACTGATTCTGAAATATCTCATCAGTGTAATAAAAAAATAATTTTCTTTTACTAAATTAGTGTAGATTTGTTCATTACAGAGGTCCGTCCTCAACGACATTGACATAGATGAGTAGACACCACGCAGATCACTACTGTGTATGATAGTCGCGTTTTCGTGGTCTACTTTTATAAACTGTATGGTTAACAGGATGTTTTAGCTAAGGCTTTAGCTCCGTGGAGATCTGGAGCTCTCAAACTGTGGTAGAGCACCGTTCATAAACCCACTCACACACCAGAATGAGAGCTCACTTTAATATTCATCAGGCAAAATACGTGAGTTTGGTTTATGTTCACACAAAAAAGAAACTTACAAGTTCACGAATGATGGTTAAATTAACTTGTTCAAATACAACACCACCGTGTTTTGGCTATTGGATATTTTAGTATTTGAATATTCTATTGAATCTTCGGATTAATGGAATATTCCATTTTACATGTTTCAAGCGAAACAAAACCGTGGTCTGCTGCCAAAAATATGAAATAAAACTATATAATTATGAGGCTGAAATGTCAGACTCTTGTTATAAAAGGCTCAATAGGGAGCCTAAGGCTCCTCCCCTTCCGGTCGGCTCATGGGTCCTCGGAAGAATGAAAAAATGAATGCAAGTCAACGGGGCGAAAAGAGTTATTTTCTAATCTGCTTTGCCTTACGCGCTGGATCACACATTTGTTGTACTTATTGTAATGATTTAATTTACATCTATTTAATGAACCATAAAATAAAAGATTTTATAGAAAATATGAAATCAATCTTATGTATCTCTGGATAACTTCAACCAGAAGATTGGAACTTTTTATTGCAGGGATTATGTAACACTTATTAACTGAGAGACAAGACAAGAGAGAGTCACCTTTAAAACGTTTAAGATTTATTTCTAAACAATTTTAAACAAGACTAACTCTAAACTCTAAAGCCCTTTTCAGACAGACATTCTGGAACATTTGCGGACAATTCAATCCGGTTTTTAACCGGAACTGTGTTTTCAGACACACCACTTTTGTACCGGAACTTGTCCTTTCGGCTGCGTTCACACAGCAGGGAAAAGTTCCAGATGTCTGACAGCGGCAGGGGGTGGGGTGGGAATCGGACTTATGTTAAGAAAAAGAAGAAGAAAATATCATTTCTATAGCGCCTCTCAAGATAAAAATCACGAGGCGCTTAAGCATAATTCTGCGCACACGAAGACGCATAAGAGACCTGGATCAATCAATCAATCAATCAATCAAAGCTTTATTTATAAAGCGCCTTCCGCAACCCTGTCAGGAAGCCCAAAGCGCTGAACATTGTACAGTTGTATGTAAATATATTGAATAAATCAACAATAAAAGAAATTCAAATTACAAAATACAAATTACAAAATACAAAATGGAAATTACAAGATAGATGAAACATTCTGGTAAAGGACAAATGTGTGAAACACATTTGGATTGAGTGGATGGATTGAGTGTACCAATGAAAACTGGAATGGATTCAACATAAAAGAGGGCCAAAATCAAACATGTTCTGGAAACGCCAAGCGGAGGAGGTGTGTTTTTAGGTGATTCTTAAAGACTGGCAGAGAAGGGGACAGCCTAACTGAGGGTGGCAACTGGTTCCAGAGTGACGGTGCTAGGACTGAGAAAGCCCGGTCCCCACGGGTACGACACCTAGACCGAGGGACAGCGAGCAGGCCTTGGTCAGAGGAGCGCAGAGCGCGTGATGGGGAGTGTCTTTTCAGGAGTGTGGCTAGATAGGGGGGACCACCACCCTGGAAGAAATGATAAACAAAGACGAGGATTTTGAATTGTGAGCGATAGCAAATCGGAAGCCAGTGCAGAGAGGCCAGAACCGGACTGATGTGGTCCCGTTTCCTGGTCCCAGTCAGGATGATGAAGCTCAATGGTTAAAGGAATCACTGAAGCGGTGTGAAGCGCTCCGTCGCACGTCTAGACGGTACCGTAGGAGGCGAGCTGCCGTGGTTCGCTGCATGCTACAGCAGCGGGCTATATAGGTGCGCACAGCGTCCCCCGGTCCCCTCCTCCTCCCCCTCCCTCTTGTCCGGAACTTTACCTCACCAGTCTGAAGCAGCCACCCTGTCCGTAACCAGTCCGGACCTGTTACTAGGGGCTTCGTCCGGATAAATTCCGGAACACGTTATCCGGATGTTTGTATTCAGACAGACAGATTCCGGAACATTTCCGTTTTTCATGGCCTGTCTGAAGGGGGCTTAAGTGAATGGATGGATCTTGGTGTGAATGAGACGTGAGATGAATGGTGTATGTGTGAGTTATGTTGTCATCAGAACTCTCGTATCTGGAGAAGCAAGTCTGAGTGGGAAGTAATGTTTTGCTCTTAAGCTATGATCGGAGTTTCATAAACACATGAGACGCCATTTTGTCGCTCCACACATACCCTTAGGATGAGACCTCCATACAGATCCAGACTGCCAGGTCCTCGGACCCCCCTTTCGGTACCGGAGCCGATGAAACAGCGTCAGCAGTACAACAGATGTTGAATTGTCTCCAGGTAAAAAGCGACAGTTGGTTGACAGTGTCAGATGGACCCTGAGGGTCAGTGAGTTCAGCTTTTATTCTGAAAGGAACCGTTGCTTGGTTGGTAAAGTGCAACAGAATTTATCCAGCTTGTTGGTTCTTTGCTTAAAAAGGAAGTCCGGGTGGCCGGTCCGATACTTCTCTTAGAATGCAGTGAACTGAACCAAGACGGCGTGAGGACTGGTTTTATTAATCTGGATGTTTTGATTTACGGTCGAATCAAAGTTGGCAGATTTATAAACACCACAGAGACTATGTCACGCTTCAGAAAGGAATGTTCTCATTGGATGAGAAAGATAAAATGTGCCATGTGGCTTACATTAAGTGGATCAGGATGTCTAGTGCAGCTAGATTAAAGTCATATTACTTATTAAAACTTACTAATCATAACATTGTCATTTCACAGATTGATTCACATCTTATTATTGGACTAACACTTTGTTTGATTAGCTTTATTAAAAATAGAATGAGTTGTTCTTCTTTCCTCTCTTGAGCTGGAAAGGAAGCAGTTTAGAAGCAGATGCATGACCTTGAGGCAGCCCCATGCAGATTAGTTCTGTGTCAGAGACATCTGAGGAGAGAGGGTAAATAACCTTCAGTGGAATAGCTCCTTCATCACGTTACATACCCCCCTTTTCAAGGGCGCGGCGGTCCGTACAGAGACCACCTGACATTGAACAGACCAGAGTCTTGAAGGACACCGATGATAGAGCAAGGTGCAATTCCCCAGGGAGAGTATAGTTTCACCAGGAAGAGGCCAAAAGTGGTGAGGTATGAACCCCACTCCGAAGAACAGTCTCGCATAATCCCTCGGGAAGCACCCAAGTCAGCAGACTATCAAGATATCCACGTGGAAGTAATAATTTGAAGCAGGAGCAAAACTTTATATCTCCACGGGTAGCGAATACTTCCAAAATAGTATATTGATCTTTGTGATTGCACTTATCGTGATCCAGTGCAGGAAAGAGCAGCAGGCAGGCCAGGTCCCAGCGAGCGAAGTATCCCAGCAACCATGCCAGAATCCACGGACGTCCAGGTCTTACGAGCCGGAACACCAATCAGGAGGAGTAGAATCCGATGACGAATCATAGGTCCACCCCCAGGAATCAGGGATCATTGATGAAACTCAGCAGAGGAGAGAGAGCACAGCACAGGGCACTTCAATGTAGACACAACAAAATGGCGTCTAATGCAAATTAAAACAAAAAGAAACCTAGCACTATGAGCACCTGCTTGTACTTGTGTAGCAATTATGTGAATAGCGTTTAAGTGAAGAAATGGATGCAATACACTATGTGTACTGGAAAAAGTGGTGCAAAAAGAATAAAGTAATAAACCCCTATACTGCGTATGGGAGAAATCACTGCACTAAGTAAAAATATAATCAAAATGAAGGGCAAAAATGGTTGTAGCCCATAATGGTAAATCAACAAAGTTAATCATAAAGTTTTGAAAACGTCATCACTGTAATAAAGTTCCATGAAAAGATAGATATATGAGTGTCAAAGAGCACTAAAAATGTAAGTCAGTGAAGTTAGTAATAAACCTACATGTGAATGTTCCCATAAGGAATTAAGATTAGTGAAAATAATAAAAACAAATTTGGATAACAGTAATATGTAGCCTAAACCCATCTACTGTTACCTAGCTGATTACCTGACTTCAGGAACCCACAGCATGTTGATTTCAAATCACCCAAGTCTGCACGTCATGTATAAACGGGAAAGACAACCATTCACACACACAAACATAGACAAACTTGTGTAACTCGAGATAGAGAACT